ACAGAGCATGGCGGGCAATGGCAGCCTGAGGGATCAGGCGGGCAGCCAATCCCTTCACGGCGACTCGTCCACCTCCAGCCGAACGTACAACACTCTTCCTACTCCCTCATCATATTCTCAGCGGCCTCCCATCGTTCCTTTGCTGCCTCCACCATTCCATCCTCCCCTCCCCCCCCACCTTTTCCCTTCAACTTTGTCACCATTTACTTCTTCGTTTTTCCCTGATTAGGGGTCACCAAGCTATGGAATGTAAGTATTTTATTTGTCTTTCCTAGCTTTTCCTAGACGTGTCCTGCCACTGTCGGCCGGGGTACTTCTCCACGGTCTCGACCCACCGAAGAACTCCAGATATCCCCTACATCTGGTGTATTGAGGGGTTCTCGGGTTCCTCCTGGTTAAGGTCTGGCTGGCTTTCTTCTCCTGTACCTGTTTTTGCCTTTGGATTTGCCCCTATTATCCCCCATCTCTTCCCTACCACTCTCCGTCGCGTTTCATCCAGCCCGCCATCAAAAACACGCCCATCCATCATACCTTCATCTTCTACCTCGTTCACCTACCTATTCTGTTCGATTCTAGTGGAATCTGAGTCGCGTAAATCTGTTTTACACTATGCCGTGCCTTCCATCCCTCTCCGGGCTCGTACCGGGCTTCAATGCTGATGCCTCTCATCATCAATAGCTACTAGCATGGTGATCCCATCTACCTCCGAGCCATCGGCCACAATGGCCCTGATGAATGGGTACTCCGCATCACCTGCCTCCGATGCTGCAAGCAGCAGAGACGAGCTTGCAGTCAGCGAGAGTGAAGGCCACCTGTCCGACTCCTTTGCAAACCATGCCGCACGCGAATCATCATCCTCCCCCGAGGAAGACGCCGCAGACGAGTCCTATAATGCCGGCTCCCCGGACGCGGAGGGAGATGAGGATGCTTTTGGGATGGAAAATGACGAGGATCAGAGCAGTGCATCCGGCTCTGAAAACTCTTCATCGTCAGAAACCAGGCGTGGCACGAAACGGAAATCGTCGTCGGTCAATGAATCAGACTATATCCGACAGAACCCCGATCTATACGGCCTTCGCCGAAGCGCAAGAGCCCGCACGACGCGTCAAATAGTCGAATCAGACTCGGACTCTGACTCTGATGCTGTAGCACCCCGTGCTAAGCGTCGACGCGCCGCAGCCTCACAACCCTCCTCGAAACGTCCCTCCCGCTCCGCAACCCAGTCGTCGTTCTCCGAAGACTCGGACAGCGATGAGTATGGAGGCCCCCGCGCTCGTACAAGTAAGGCAAGGCGACGGCGGCTCCTTCAAGCCTCATCAAACGATGCACCTTCTCATCCTGAGGTTCGTTTCTCAACGAGGAATGCCTCTCGGGTCTCGAATTACAATGAAGATGATGATGATTCCATGTTCGAGGATGACCCCGATGAGATGACGCAGAATTATTGGGTGAATACCGTGGAGGATGATCGCCCAGCTGTCGATATTGTGCTCAATCATCGCCTGAAGGATGGCGTGGACCCAAGTAGCCTCGACGTCGGCCGCCACGACTTTGAGTTCTACATCAAATGGCAAGGCAAATCTCACTACCATGCTACATGGGAAACGGCCGAGAGTCTTGCCAACTGTCGTAGTACCCGCCGCCTTGACAATTATATACGCAAAACCCTGTCCGAAGACGTCCGCCTCAAAAATGACGAAGATGTTGCCCCTGAGGATCGAGAGAAATGGAACCTCGATCGTGAGAGGGATGTAGACGCTATTGAGGATTACAAACAAGTTGAGCGAGTCATCGGAATGCGCGAAGGCGACGAAGGGACAGAGTACTTCGTCAAATGGAAGCGCCTGTTCTATGACTCTTGTACATGGGAGAGTGAAGAGCTCGTTAGTAATATTGCTCAGCGCGAGATAGACCGTTTTCTAGATCGCTCCTCTCGCCCCCCGGTGTCAGACAAGTCCGAAACCAACCCAGCCACGCGAAAGTCATTCGAGACAATCAAAAGCACACCGAGCTTCCTGCAGAATGGCCAGCTGAAGGAGTTCCAAGTGAAAGGTGTCAACTTTATGGCCTTCAATTGGGTGAAGAATCGCAATGTTGTGCTGGCCGACGAGATGGGTCTTGGGAAGACCGTTCAGACCGTTGCTTTCATCAACTGGCTACGCCATGTGCGCCGCCAGCAAGGGCCTTTCGTGGTCGTCGTCCCACTGTCGACGATGCCATCCTGGGCTGAGACTTTCGACTACTGGACCCCTGACCTGAACTATGTCGTCTACAATGGCAATGAGGCTGCACGCACCGTTCTGCGTGAACATGAGCTCATGGTAGACGGCAACCCCCGACGGCCCAAGTTCAATGTACTTCTTACAACATATGAGTATGTCCTACTGGACTCGGCCTTCCTGAGCCAGTTCAAGTGGCAGTTTATGGCCGTGGATGAGGCACATCGGTTGAAGAATCGCGAATCTCAGCTATATTTGAAGTTGCTCGAGTTCAGGTCTCCGGCTCGACTTCTCATCACAGGCACCCCTATCCAGAACAACCTCGCAGAACTTTCTGCCCTTCTAGACTTCCTAAATCCGGGCTTGGTTCACATCGATGCCGACATGGATCTGAACGCAGAAGCGGCCTCTCATAAGCTTGCGGAACTGACGAAGGCTATTCAACCCTTCATGCTACGTCGAACGAAGTCGAAGGTGGAGTCAGACCTTCCTCCCAAGACCGAGAAGATCATTCGCGTCGAGCTTTCCGACGTCCAACTGGAGTACTACAAGAACATTCTCACCAAGAATTACGCTGCGCTCAATGACGGAGCCAGAGGTCAGAAACAATCACTTCTGAACATCATGATGGAGCTGAAGAAAGCAAGTAACCATCCATTCATGTTCCCCAATGCCGAAGCCAGGATTCTCGAAGGTAGTACTCGCCGGGAGGATGTTCTGAGGGCAATGATCACCAGCAGTGGTAAAATGATGCTCTTGGATCAGCTTCTCGCCAAGCTGAAACGCGACGGCCACCGTGTGTTGATCTTTAGCCAGATGGTAAAGATGCTTGACATCCTCGGTGATTATATGGAATTCCGTGGATACACATATCAGCGCCTAGATGGTACCATCCCTGCGGCTGCACGTCGTTTGGCTATTGAACATTACAATGCCCCCGGGAGCAATGACTTTGCTTTCATTCTGTCTACCCGAGCCGGTGGTCTTGGAATCAACCTTATGACGGCAGATACTGTAGTCTTGTTTGATTCAGACTGGAATCCTCAGGCTGATCTCCAAGCCATGGCCAGAGCGCACCGTATCGGACAGACGAGACCGGTCAGTGTGTATCGTCTGGTGTCGAAAGATACCGTGGAGGAAGAAGTGATTGAGAGAGCTCGGAATAAGCTTCTTCTCGAGTTTATCACAATCCAACGCGGTGTTACTGACAAGGAGGCGACAGAGATTCAGAACAAGATGGCTCGTAGTGGGATCTCGGTCAGCGAGCCAAACTCAACGGAGGATATCTCACGTATTCTCAAGCGTCGTGGCCAGAGGATGTTCGAGCAGACTGGTAACCAGGAAAAGCTTGAACAGCTTGACATCGACTCAGTACTCGCAAATGCGGAACTTCATCAGACCGAACAGGCCGAGGAAATCCAGGCTGACGGTGGCGAAGAGTTCCTTCGAGCCTTCGAATATGTTGACATCAAGGTGGACGATCTTAGTTGGGACGACATTATACCTAAAGAACAGCTAGAAGAGATAAAGGCAGAGGAGAAGAAGAAAGCCGACGAACGCTATCTTGCCGAAGTCATTGAGCAGAATCGACCTCGCAAGCGCAATGCACCGGGTGACGCACGGGATACCCGAGAAGAACGCAAAGCCAAAAGGTTAGCGAGAGCACAGGTCAGTATGGAGAATGGCGATGATTCCGATTCGAATGCTCAGTCGGACCCGAAACGACCGCTTGTGGAGAAAGAATATCGCCATCTTCTGCGTGCCTACCTTCGTTATGGAAATATGGTAGAACGTGAGGAGGATGTCGTTCGTGAGGCACGTCTCCTTGACCGTGATAGAGAGACGGTCAAGGCTGCTCTCCGCGAAATAACTGACAAGGCTGCCGATCTGGTTCGGGAAGACATAGAGAAACTCGAGGCCCTTGAACACGCCGGTAAGGTGCCGACGAAGAAAGAAAAGAAGGCGGTCTTGTTTGATCTCCATGGAGTCAAGCGTCTTAATGCGTACACTATTGTGGAACGTCCGACGGAAATGCGTATCTTGAAGGAGGCGACGGCCGCGGTGCCTGACTTCAAGAATTTCCGGATACCGGAAGCTACCAAAGCCGCGGATTATACGTGTCCATGGGGTGCGCGCGAAGACGGGATGCTGTGTATCGGTATTGCGCGGCACGGATATGGTGCCTGGACGCAGATCCGGGACGATCCCGACCTTGCCCTTGGCGATAAGTTCTTCCTTGAAGAGCACCGTGTCGAGAGGAAAAATGAACGTATGAATGCTGAGGACAAGACAACGAAGTCCCCAGGAGCCGTTCACCTTGTTCGTCGCGCAGACTATCTGTTATCTGTTCTTCGTGACAAAGCCACCAACGGTTCAAGTGTCAGCGCGAAGAGAGCTGTCGATAACCATCATCGGAACAACCGGAAAGGTTCCCGTACGCATGCCAGCAACAGCGTCTCAGCTTCACCGGCACCGTCTCTTTCTCGTAGAGGCCACCGGGAAACAGAACGTTCCAGGCATCGGTCTCATACCCACGGCGCCAGAGATAGTGTTGAACGACACCACACTCCCAGTCACGACGCTCGACCCAGATCCGTGCATGAAGGGGAACGAAGCCGTCATAGAACCTCCGACGCGTCCAGTGAGGATATTCGGCGTCGTAAGCCTAATGAGAATGGCTACTCCGCCGGCAAAGAGGATATGGCTCGCTTGTTCTTCAAGCCCATTCGCGAGAATCTGAAGAAGGTGTCGGCCGTTACTAAAGAGAATTTCCCGAATAAGGCTGAACGGGCTACGGAGTTGAGACGTCTACTTGGCAAGGTCGGTGAATTTATCGGCCAGAATTTGAAGGGCCAGGGCTCCATGACGTCTTTGGAGACTCGTTTATGGTATGTCCAATGCAATCCGCCTTATGTTCCGAACAGAGTATACTGACTCTAACAACAGGCAATATGTTTCGGTACACTACTGGCCCAACAAAGATGCCGGAGGGGCTAAACTTCAAGAAATGTATCATAAACTGATCGCTGCCCGTAAGGAGGCTGCTGCTTCCAAGCCAGCCTCCAACGGAGAGTAGATGCCGGTTTCAAACCCCGGTATTTCTCAGCGAAAAGATGTCAAGGGTCTTGTTTTTTTTTTCATGGAGTTCTTTTTGCTTCAATTCATGTTAAAAGGTACATATGCATCATTTGGGTTAGCATGGCGACGGCGTCTGGTATGATCTACGAATAAGGAGTGTTGTGTGAAGTTGACCCATGAGTGGCCTTCTATGATGTTTGCATGCATGGCAGCTATTTCTTTGGCTCTTACGTCTTGCGGTTCCCCCGTATTTGGAGCATCGGGATTTGTGATGTGTTCACATATATCGTTTCCTTCTATCTCTCTATCGCTCATCATTCGCTTCCCCCCATATACCTCCGGAATGATGAGCGTTCTTGTTGTTTCCATGATATCGAACCCGGGAAAGAAAAACCCACCGTTGCCTTGATTGTTTCTTAGCCCTTTTTCCCATACCACTTAAACCATCCGAGCAGGGCTCCTTATATTCTTTGAATTCATGTATCTTCTTTTCATACTATCAGCATCTTTGGGATATTACTATTCTCTGGAGTTTAAATCCATTTTCTTCCATTCAAGCCTGGGAATATCCATCTTCTTGTTCTGCTTTCTGTATCGACGTGTCATTAGACCTCGATAACTAGTTGGGTTTATTTCATTCACACCAACAGGAAAGAGTGGCTGGCTTATTATGTGTTGTGCTTTTCCCCATTGTTTAGGACACGTCTTGAAGGCTACTACTTGCCATGCTTGTTCACGCGAAAAACAGGAGGCGCGGAGTGCATGAGTCCCGGATTCTTACATCTCTTCTCTTAACGGAGTACAATTACAGCACGTTTGAACAGCTATAGGGGGTACATGCATGGAATAAAACAAGATACTCAATTTTCGGTCTTTTTCGATGTGATTCATGCTATCAATACTGGAAAGAAAAAAAGAAAAAGGAGAAAAGAAAGCGCCAATCCCATTTCGTAAGTTACAAACAGCAGACAGGTAATAATAGTAGTAAAGACCAGGATATTTTGCGATAACGAAAGCGAAACGAAGCGAAACGAATTGAACTAATCCGGAATTGATCAAGTCCCTGCATGTCCCGTGACGTGGTAAAACAATGGAGAGAAAAGGTGTATGATAAGGGGGGAAAGAATGGAATATGAGTAGTAGTGACACGTTTTTTTATCACAAGAGACGTGACGTGGCCCAATTCCGTAGCTAAGTCATTACCAGCAGCCCCAAGAAAGAAAATCCCAAAAAGAAGCCCCCAAAACAAGAAGGTAAAGTACAAGGGCAAAGAGGGGGAAAGAGCAATAGGAAAGGCAGGAGTGATCAAATCAAGAAGGATATATTAAATGACCATCACATTCAAGATCAACAATCGCATCATGGAGGAACAGATCCAGACCCCTGGTCTTGTGCAACATCTACCTCCATTGGCTGCTCCGACTGCGGCGGATTATCCGTCCCATTTGCCGGCGCAGACTTGGACACGCTGAATTTCTCATCAAGGAGCTTGAACAATCGTACCTCGGCCTCCATCAGATCATCGAAGATCGCCTCCTTCTCCATCCAAGATTCCTTTCTCTTGACGCGAATCTTTTCCCATGCGACGCGTAGCTCCGCGCCATCCTGCTGTGCCCAATGGATCTGTCTCAGAAGCAACCGATACAGTTGCGGGCCTTCGAGCAGCATCTCGTAGGTGTCGAATTCCTTCTCCAACCCACCAGGAGGTACGTGAAGATCGTCCTCCAGTCCTGCGCCCTCCTCATTGGCACTTTCGCTATGATCTCCTGCATCGTCCTTCGGTGGAAACGATAGCTTCAGCTTCAATCGTTGGATCTTGCCAGACGGAGTCGCGGTCGGCGTTCCTGCCGCCGAAGCAGCGACATTGTGGTGTTTGGGTACGGGGTCGGAGGGACGAAGCGCCTCTGTTTCATGGACAGTTCTCATGTGTTTGGCAAGGGCATCTGATCGAGTGAAGCTGCGGTCGCATTCTATAGGCAAATATCAAGGAACAATGTTAGACGCTGCCAAGGGATAACAAGAAAGGAACTTATAACGGGGAAGGTCTGGGGAAACTTACCTGGTAGAGCGCAATAGAAGGGCTTTTCTCGCGTATGGCTTCTCATGTGTGCGCGCAGCGCATAGCCACTTGCGTGCGTTTGGCCCTTCCGACTGCAATCGGACCATTCGCAGGAGTATTTCTTCTGTCGGCTCCCGACATGTTCTTCATGTATGTGCTTTACGAGACCGTCCATGTTGCCTAGGTCACCGGCGTCGCATCCATCCCAGCGACAGATGGTGACTTGATCGTTGCCTTGGCCGCTGTAGTCATCATCCTGACTGCCTCCGATGAGAGCGAGGGTGTTAGGAGAATTGGGAATGTCGCCGGAGGTATCGGACGAGATGGAGGTGGAGGGAGAAGGAGGAGGGAGGTCATCTTGGAAAGTGGTCGAGACGGGAGTATTGCGATCCCAAGAAGCAACACCAGTGCGACGACGCTTAGAGGGAGGCATGTTGGAGCCCGAGGGGGAGAAGCCTTGCTTTAGGTCGTCGCGATCCGACATGTCGTCGGAAGCAATGGAGGAGAGGGGGGAGCCCGGAGATTCCGTCATGGTGGTTGACAGGAGAGGGGGGCCCGCTTTCAGCAGAGTTGGAGAGTGAATGACGGAGAGAATTGAGCGACAGCTGTGGGCCTTTAGGAGTGTTACTGGCACTGGCCGGAGGAGTGAGCCCAGGTTTAGGATGTTTGGAAGTCGATATCCGGCGCCGGAGTATACACTGGGCTGAGCACCCGGCACGTGATGAGGCTATTGCGCCGCCAATTTTCTTCGCGTCCGAATTCCCTCTTCTTTTCTTCCCTTCTTTTACACCCAACTGGTCTTAGAGACTGGAAAATGCACACTGGAGACTTCACCTTGAGGTCTGATGTGACTCGGTTCTCTCTCAGGGGTTACTTAAGCTACTTCCTAGCTCATTGTTTCCTTGTTTTCGTGATCTGTTCAACAGATCCTGCCCACACAGTGTTGAGCAGGGTAAGTTGCCGCCAATTTCCTACCACTTTATTGTGTTTCGAATCTGCCGCAACTTCCATGATGAATTAATCAAGAATTCTGCAATCCTGACAATCTCCTACTTTTTGTGAGATTGCATGTTGACTCTTCTACACTTGATCTGACCCTTCGTCTGTTTTGATTGTGTCCATGAAGCTTTCCACTTTCGCCTTGTCAACACAAGCTGACAGTTCTGGCTTATTCAGGATCATACTATCTCTCCTATACTATATATATATAGCAATGATATCATTTTCAGTATCAACAAACTACCAAATATACGCCGTGTGAATACCAAACAACCGTAGCTTAGTAGCGAGCTCCGATCACCTGAATCCGGTCCAGAATACTCTTAAGCTCGTCCATCTCAGCATCACTAAGGCGAGGGACTCCCTCCAGGTTCTGAGTAACCTTGTCAACCGTCGTACCACCAGGAATGGGGATAATGGTGGGCATTCCCGGCTTGCCGCTCAGCGTGAGGATCCAAGCCAGGGCGATCTGGACAGGAGCCACGCCCTTCCGCGTCGCCAGGTCCTTGACCTCGTTGACCAGCTTGATATTTTCCTTCATGGCATCCTCCTGGAACTTGGGTAGCGTTCTACGGAAATCACCCTCAGGGATCTCAGACACACTGGTGAAAGCACCCGCCAACACGCCCCGGCCCAAAGGCGAGTAAGCCACAACGGGGATGTTGAGCTCAGCACAAACCTTAGCGACGTCATTGTTGAGAATCGTGGTATCAAAGAGGGACAATTCAACCTCTACCGCTGCGATCGGGTGGACCTTGTGACTGCGCGATCTCGTCAGCTGCCATTCTTTTTTTGTGTAACCAGCTTTTGCACGAGAATGAATGTGTGGTGTGTAGCAACGTACGCTCTGCGAATAGTCTCTGCATCGACTTCACTCAGACCAATACCTCCAATCTTGCCCTCCTTGACATATTGTGCCAGAGTGCTCACTTGCTGCTCCACCGGCACGTTGGGATCCTGTCTAGCGCACTCGAAGATATCGATCTTCTTCTTTCCGTCCAGCACGCGCAGACACTCCTCCACACTCCGGCGGATGTTGGCCTCGGAGCTATCGGGGGTAAGCTCTCCACGCTTCAAGCCACCCTTGATGCTCAGGACGACCTTCTCGGCGTTCTCGGGGTACTTGGTGAAGTACTTGTTCAGGAGGTGGCAGGAGTTGTAATCGGGCGTGCCGTAGAGCTCGCCGGCGTTCCAGAAGTTGGCTCCTAGCTTGAGAGTGGTGTTCAGGGTTTCGAAGCATTGCTCGTGAGAGGGAGGCTGGGGAACCCAGGTCATTCCTTTGATTTGACATCATTATCGTCAGCTGCTGCAGAATATGGTGGCTGCGGGGTTGATCGTGTCCACATACTCATGGTTCCGTAGCCGGTAGGGCCGACTTCGCGTCCGTTGAGGGAAGGCATTTTGCTGTGTATGTTGTAGCGATTGAATATTTCGTGGTGTTCGATTCGAGGTTTGGATGTGTAGCTCTTGAGACCACAATATGATGGTGTTGAAGAGCTGAGCTGAGCTTGAAAGTTTGGTTCGGTTTGCAGCCGCAATGCAGAGGGTCGATGAGGGGCTTTTATCTCTGCTTCCCCCACCTCAACATCAGTATTCGGATTTCCTCGGACATTGGCCTGTATCACCGCCCTTGACTCACAAAGGCGTGCAAGACCCGCTGATTGACTGTGAGTACAATTAGATTCGATGAGTTCTGTGGATCTGCCGCGGTATTAGCTATGGAGGCCGAGGGGGTCCTCCCGGATTTAGCTGGAGTTAAGGTCGTAGACCGACGGACGAAAGTTAAAACCACGAGAGCGTAGAATCAAATAGATGGACGGAGACCGAGAGACTCTGGGATCACCAAGTCAATTTCTACTTCAGGTACTAACTCATTATATAGCTTCCTTGCCATTGGACTTCGTCAATCGTGACACGCCGCTGAATACTTTTCAAACAAACAGGAGTATAGGAGACATCGGGACAACATCAAGACAGCAAACCACTCGCCAACCGAACCTTACAATTTCATGAAAATGGCGACAAATTAAGGAACGAGTATACTATTCCTGTTGCTCAGTGCAGTGTATGCTCGTCACTGCTGTCCACAGCATCCTTGAAGGCGTCCTGTATGTTCTCCATCAAGGCCTTCACGAACCCGGAAGGGTCCGCTGCTGGGTTTGGAAGCCTGCCACCCTTACTACTCTTGCCGTCGTCAGAGTCTTTCTTGTTATCATTGGAGGTCGAGTCATCGGCAACCTTATCGGTATCCTTGTTTGTATCCTTCCCATTATCTGTCTCATCGTCATCCTCTTGATTGACATCGTTGTTTTGAGAGGTCACGGTCTTTGTAGGGCTGTTGCTGTCATCGATGACATCGGGCTCATTGTCCGACTTCCAGTGATTGAGTTTGGTCAAGTCGTGGAGCCCAATAGAGTCAAAGAGAGTGTCGATGAGATCGCTGTTCTCGTCGTCGGGGGTAGCGGCCTGAGGGATCATTCGCTGCGGCGAGAGAGTCAGCTAATATGGAGGGTGTGAGTACACAGACAAAATACTTACCGGGTCAGGAGATCTCGAACTCACCGCTCTCGATACATTGTGCTTGTTCGATGTAGGTACAGGATATGCGAGGGCGAGAGAAGAGAAGGTAAGGAATGTGAGGACCATGCAGGTCACTGATGGCGTCTTGGAGTGCATGATGCTGTAAAATGGCAGTGCGACGTGTTGTTTGGAATGAAGAGGTCAAGTCTGAAAGGGTAATGGAGACTGGTGAAGTGCTTCAAGGAGTAGGTTTCAGGTGAAATAGGATTTGAGAGTTTGAAGAGATTATCGAGCCTAGATATACTTCTCCTCGTTGCCCGGGACCCCTGTGCGATGAGACTTCGCCGTCGTGCGGAATGGAAGGGCTGGATAGATGTCGCGGGGGGAATACCACGCGTTTTGCAAGATCGCGTCTCAAGATAAGGTCCAGCCATTAACAGGCTTTTGCACGCCACTCACTTCTCAGATTCTGGAAGATTGCTTGCTACTGGGAGGCAGTCTCCTTAGGCTAAGTTGATGCCACCATCGCTATCGCACGGAAACACCAACTAATCCAAAGCTCATCTTCGCGATACTCCCATTGAAGAAGAGCAAAGTTGCCGTTGTTTTATTCAGCTATCCAGGCCTGATCAATTGAGACAGTAGCATAGGCCCTAAATGGTAGGGGTGGACCGTCTCGCATTCCAGGGGCCTTGAGCATTCCAGCCCGGTTGCTTGCCTGACAGGGATAGGCTCGCCACATATCGATATGAGATCATCACAGACAATGGAAATTGAATTCTGGGGAATGTATAATGTCTCTCGAGCACCGTACCTACTGGCTGGGAGGTGTTAGCGGAACGTTCATCCCGACCACTCTAAGTCTGCAATGTGCACGCGTCGCGTCTATAGTAGACTTACGGATAAGATGCCAAACACTCGACAACAATGTATTATCTACTTCTGCAGCAGTCTCTCGGGTGGCATTGCCCCAAAAACGGAGTTGTCACTATCCAGCTCAGAGCATTGGGCCTGATCTTGACATGATATCTGTGTCGCACATCTGTGCCTGTCCAGTATGATTTATCCCCCTCCGCGCTGATAGCTTCATTGTTCGCTGGAAGCGTAACCAGGTCAACTACCTCACCACTAGTACAGTCTCTCTGTACTAAGGGCTCACGAGGTTGTCATAACTCTGCGCCTCAAGATCTGGTCGCCACATAAGCACAAAGTCCCTCTCGAGGAGGGAACAAATGATTCAATGTGTTTCTACCGAGGACACAGTGCCGGGCCTGAGTCAGCTGTGCCTCAAGGCTTAACTTCGAACAGTATCGATATATTGCATCTTCAATGACTGAACTAGCAACAGGGGGACGAATTACAACGCTCATTCATTGGTCTTGATGCGATGGAGGGGTAAGCTGAGGGTGGTGCTGGGGCGATGTCGAGATGGAGTAACTGGTGAGAACCCAGCAAGTCGTTCGTAATGTCTCACTGTGATAAGGCCTCTAAGGGCAAACGTCAGCTGTCATGGGCACATAACAGTAACTGGGTGTCAGCTAAGGCAACTAACAAGTAATCAGACTCGATACTGCAAGTTTATGGTTGTGTCTGACAATAGGTGAAACATGCAGTTTGTCAAAGCCCCAGGCATATACATGTTATCTTCGCCTGATTTGGGCTGGCTGAGCGCCTACCAAGGTGCGTTGATTGGGCAGTCAACGTCATCCTTCAATTCAGAGAGACACGTAAGTGCGTCGTCGTTGGCCTGGGTTCTCTACCTAATAATGGGACAACATTGTTCAGCACCATGCAAGCAGTTAGTGAACAAGCATATGTCTTCTTCAATCCCAGATAGGTATTCCAGTCGTATCAAACGACAAGGCCACAAACACAGGGTCCAACACCCAGCAGACCAGAACGCAGACCCTGCCTGGGACCTGCTGCAAGAGGCCAAGCGAGCCAAGAGCCATAGTACGAATACAATCAGCCCATTTCCCACCTGCAAACGTATCCCCTTGACCACATGAACCAACCAACGCTCATGCAAAGCGCCTTCATTTCGGCATACGTGATCAGTCTCAAGCAGTAGTAGCAGTAGTAGCCGCCCCAAGGCACCCAATTCAAGGGTCCTGCCCCGTGGCTGCTTACTAGCCTACAAGCCTGACTCGCCGAGGGGTGGCGCCCGTTATACTTTGCTAGACGGCAGTCTGATCCTGTCACGCATTTGTCCAGCGGCATTACTCGTCCACTACGACCGAGAAGGAATGATCTTCTCTGCAGGCTGCGCCGCTGTGTTTAGTTAGCCTTGATATGTTGGAGTAATTCCTCCGGTGTTGGCTGCGTAAGGCCTGCGGCAGCAGCATGGGCGACGCACGAGACCTCCACACTTACAGGGCGCTGGTCGAGATCATTCAACGCAGAAGGTAACTTTGTCCACGACGAAGAAAGTGCTGGGCCTTGTGGGATTATGCGTGGAATAACCCGTCTATAATGGAGGTGCGTACACACATACGTAGTCAGGTCAATAGGAAAGCCAAGGGGGGAAGGGAATTCCGAAACGTCGGCTGCTCCTCCCCTTTCGTTTATGTCAAAACTCCCTCATCACGACATTGCATTATCTCTGACGGGATGAATGAACGGATGAGAAGACGCTACGTAGACATCTTCGGGGGCTTGTGTGCCTTTGCACCGCTTCATTTTGAGTTAACCCCGATGAAGGACACACTAGTTAGCAGGGGCAACAGGCAGAAAAATTTCGATGCCACGGTTCAGGACGCAAATGAGGCGAAAAAAAATGAAAAATAAAATAAAATAAAAATGTGAGGGAACCCTTAGATGAGGTGCGCCCCAATAGCTACGGAGGAGCATCCCCGCTTCGATCTTGAATTTCTTCGTTCTTTTACATATCTATACTAGTCTAGTAGTTGAGAGCCCTAAGCAATTGCTCGGCGACGCTAGGTTGGCCCCACTGGGCACCGGAGTATTCGTATGCACCTACGGAGTACGTATCAAGGTGTCAAGGGAAATGATTCAAGACGGAGGGTCACGGAATCAACGTGATTACGGGGCGGAGTAAACAATGAGATCGGAGTTATACATGGTATGAATTGTATTCTCAGTACGATCGTGGCCGTTCTGGGGTTACCAGGTACCATGGGATGGGCAGCATGGATTGTGTGTGTACCGTCTCATCAATGTAGATAAGAATCGATGAAGGAAAACAGGGTATCTTGGTTAGTTAGTGTTTGGTTCGACACCTGATCGGTCCCTAACTAACCGGTCTTTTTACCCCGTAGTTTGCCTGGCTTACGTATGTTTCCAGTCAACACCAGGTGGTCTAGTCTGTCTAGTTGCTTCGTGTTGACCCTTTGTCCCTCTCTCTCTCTCTCTTTCTCTGACTCTCTAGCCTGAAGATAGTGGCATCGAATTGAGCCCTGAAAAGCATAGCTGAACCGGACCTTCAGCCAACAAGCCACCAGGCGACAGTCTAGAACAGAGGGGGAAAGCGATTAGACCTCAAACAGATTAGTCTCCGGCTAATTCATGCGTATCTGAGGACTAATCTAATTCTACGCGCGGCATGTCAAATCTCGGACCCCACTGAGTGACGTCTCTGCTTACGCAGCTGGCGTTGCTAGTAGTGGTGGTGAGGTGAATGGTGGGAAGTGTGGGCTGTGGATATGCCTCCGAGGTGGGTTGTTTAGATAGAAAAGTAGTTGAGTTTAGTTGTTTTGTTGGACGGAGGAGACAAGGCGTTTTTGCATGGGCAATTGGAGTCGATATCGGCTAGGGTTAGTTTGAGTTAGTTGGATCCTGCATGTCACCACTTCTATGCTCTGACTACACTTTGATACAGTCTATCATAATAATACTATGCTTTCTAGACAGACAGTAACTGAATACATCCCAGCAATATCTCACTTAACTGACTCTGACTCTCCCACCCTTACACCAATCCCATCAATCCCATCAATCCCCTTCCACTCCACCTGCTTTCTGCACGATAAACCAGAATGAACCCAACCCTTACTAGCGCGTAGCTAAGAAGGCCACTAGATAACAGCCCCACTCCACTCACTCACCAACAACAACCCTTTGTCCCTCTCTCTCTCTCCCTCTCCAATCAATCTTTGAAGTTAAATGGGCCTTGAGAGGAGAAAAGAGAAAGAAAAAGGGAAGAAAGTATATGCGTGTCCGGAGTAATCTTACTGCCTCGGAAAGGGTAAATTACCCGTTATGGTATTTAATACCGTAACCCACAACACCCATCCACATCCACCCTTCGTGAATCTTGTCTCATTCTAAAATTTCCCATTTCTCGGTTCCTGTCCCTTGGATGTGATGGATGGGTCACTTCCCCCTCGGATATCGACTACCGTAGCGAGCTTAGTCTGGCTCAGTACTACCTTGGTCCGCCGACACTTGCCCAGCTGCGGTTCCGAACTTTCTTTCCGGACCCTGAAGATCGCAAGGGTCAGGCGCTCGCTCTTGTCTCTCGCTGGCTGGAGTTTTTGAACGAGGAAGTTGTGTGCGTGTGATGGTCCTGTTACTCAGCGGCATTGATGATCCGTACCAACATTCGGTAGTTGTTGGAACGGACCAGACAATTCCTCAGTCGAGTGAACTAGATATGTGTTTTCTTTCTCTCTATAATATCGTACTAGAAAATAAAGGGGTTTTTTTTTTTTTTTTTTTTTTTTTTTTTTTTTTTTTTGGTTTCCTTATCGAATTTGCACCTGCTGTACAGCAATCAAGCGACCGACCCTACCCGACCGAACCCCCCTTATCACAGAAACCCCGAAAGATCCCTCCACCACCTCCCCTTCCAACCCGGGATTCCCGCAGTCGCTGTTTCACTCCAATCCCACCTTTTTAATTCAATTCCTTTGTCTTAAGTAAGAGCTCGCTTCAATGAACAGCTGGTCCGAAGCGAACTCTGAGACATTGCCTATAATAAACATCTACTAAAGATAGCTAGCTAGCTATCTTATTATCTTACCAGGCTAGCAGTAGGACCCTGTCTCTTCTTTTCTTAGATACGTCGTATCTTAGATTCAAGCCATGTCTCTGATTGTGTGCGAGTGCGTGAGAGTGGCGCACACACACACACGCGCACCTGATTGTCCTGGCCTGGCCTGTCCATTTCTGCCTTAAGTTGCCTACGTATGTTTGCCCTCCGAAACTAAACTACTTCGATGTAAGTGGTGATTTAATTATAAAAAGGCGTATTATTTTAATGCCGGGATATCCGGGCTCATGTCTGATCGATTTCGATCGGTGAGAAGGAATTCCGTTTCCCCGATGACAGGAAATACATAGTAAACGAGAGCAAAGAAAAAAAAAAAAAGGTTTTGAAAATAAGCAAAGAAGATGCTTAGACATAACGCCGATTCTAGATCGTTATCTTCACCCGAATAAGCCAGACACAGCCAACGAGAAAGATATGGAGAATAGTGAAGAGAAGTCATCGTAAATCATACCAGAAACAGCAGAGATTGAAATACGAGAAAAACAACAAGGAAAAAAAACCCCTCTTCCAAGCTACTAGAAATCCCTGCATTGGTCTCTGGCACCGGTCGTTCTACCTTTCGCTGAGCAGTACCTAAGGGGGTCTAGTGTAGCCGGGAAAGGGTCCATAGGGCTCAAGCCACAGTAAGGTACTGACACTTGGCATGAGAGAAAAAAAAACAAGGGTTCTTGCTCCATTTTGTGTTCAGTTTTTCGTTTTCGTTTATTTTTTCTCGCTTTGCTTTTCTTTGGTTTTCTCCGCGGATAAATAACTACCATGTTGAGGAAAAAGAAAATAAAAGTTACTTCACGGAGGGCGTCCGAGGGTTGATATGCCACGATCTGGGCTAGATTCGGCTTGGAAACATGAGAGCGATAAGAATAGCTTGTTGTTGACTTGTTGCTAGGGAGGACTAAACAGTGGTCGTTTCATACAGTGGGTGGTTTACGTCTCGTGAGGGGAAAGAGAAGAGAGGGGAGAGGAGGGTCCAGTGCATTGACAGCGTAGTTCCCTGGCTGGCGCAGACAGTGGCACCGACGCTGAGAGAGATCTTCACAACTCTTCAATTCTTCGGATGAATGCAATGCAGCCTGGGATCCCATTCAGCCCTAGTGACCCTCCTAGGAGGGGTTAACTAACTGAAAAGTAACTAACGTCTAGTAACAGACGACTGACGAAGCCACCACTATTATGCCACTGCATACGTATGCTCGCTTCTTGGTATTTTCCCTCCCCCTTCAACGGCGTGTACTCGATCGGGGACCAGAGAATATCTAGGTTGTCTAGCACCTGAAGATGGACCCTCGCCAAGCCTGATCTAGCTAGTGGAGAAGCCGCTTACAAAGCAATTCTACGTCGTCAACCAGACGCGTCCCGTAATCTGCCAGACGATCTGCCATCGATTTGAGGACTTCTTCGGTTGGCTCGGCAGCTGAGTCATTGGATCTGCCTCGTAACGTAATCAACGGTCGAACGGGCCACACGGTCAGGCGGGCCATCCTGAAATCCCATATAAAAGATGTCTTTTTGATTCTATTATATATCAACCAGTACTACTTCTATGAAGCTCTAACTTTGTAGATAGTTTATATATATAAGAATAAGTATTCCATGAATTTTTCAGATTTTTAGAATTTTTACTTTGATAATGAAACCAGATTCTTATATAATACATATAAATACAGATATTGTAATATGATAAGTCCATAAGTAAAAGTATATTCATTTTTAGAAGGTATATAGATATTATTTATATTATTTAAAATCTATATAGAAGAAATCTAATTCTTCTAGACCTGGATGGTAGAGATATATTATGTTTAAAAAGATATCTTTTGTATAGTATTACCAGATGGCCCGCCTGACCGTGTGGCCCGTCCGACCGTTGATTACGTTATCGGCACCCGTAAGTTTACTACTTAGGTAACTAGTTGTTCACATATCTCGTAGGTCATTGGTAGAGCTCGAAGATTGGCCGCGTGCGCGACCCTGATCTCCAAAATCAATGGATTCCTGTACGGTGCCTAGATAACTACTGTAACTAGTTGATGGTAGTCAATGCCAATAGCCAGCGTGGCGTACCGTATATCAAATCCAAACTCTCTGACTCGATGTGGCTTTATTGTCATCGACATTTTCCATGGTCTTGGGTTCCTGTAGGGACTCGTATAGCGCTGCGTTAGTCCAGCCACGTCCTCTGCCTCATTTCTTTCTCCATCCAGTACGTGCAGTATGGTTCCTGGCTGGGCTGCTCACTATCTATGGCGCTGATCTCGCTGCGTATAGGTACATCCGGTGTTATCTCTCTCTCTCTCTCTCTTTCTCCTGTCTCCGACGGAATAACGGAAGACGGAGTACCTGCATTAAGATTGCACAATTATCACACCCCATTTACTTCGTAACTTGGCAGACTTGTCCACGCGACTAGACATAGCTCTGGCTGTGAACTGTGATCCCCAAATCTTGGCACTGCCTTCAACATGCCGGCCGATTCTCTCGGATAATTAAGCCGCCGTCGCTGTGGCTGCTGTCAGCGTGCATCTCCGAAGCAGAGCAGCATCAGTAGTAGAATCCACCTACCCACACAACAACTACAACAATGCTCACAACAACAGAATAGCATGCTCCCCCCAAAACCACACATCACATCTACCTCATACACTTACCTTTCCCTTTCCCCTTCCCAACCTTCCAACCAACTATCGAGCAAGTATCTAACCCACCCGAACATTGCAACACGGAAGTACACTCAACCGGCCCTAACAGCCCACAATTACCCCCGACCTCCGATCTCCCTCCACAAGCCAAACAAGCATGATGCGCAAGCTTCCAAGCACCCATTGTAGGCATCAACATTTCCCTCCCTCTATCTGACCAATAGCGATCATCTCCGATGATGCAGGGTGGGAAAGAGTAAAAGAAGGGCCCATCAGCTCTTCCACAGCCCCTCCCCGCTTCCCCCCTCGGCACGTCAACCGCTTGGAATCGGGCTTTGCTCTTTTCGTCTTTTTTCTTTTCTTTTCTTTTTTTTTTTTTTTTTTTTTTTTTTTTTTTGCTGCTGTTGTTGTTGTTGCTGGCTTGACGTTATTCCTGTGACAACTTGACGCGTAGGATGATGGATCATAATTGCGGTTCGGAGTTCCACTACGTAAGTACTTATTTACGGAGTAGACTACTTGTTATTGTTGCTGTGCCTCATTTTGTTTTTTGTTCTGCCTGGTGAGGAGAGATGGAGACTAGTACTAATTTGTAGTTAGATGGAGAAATCTGATATTAAATTACTTCATTCTGAGTTTGTTATTCATATGGAGTACTTGTAGGTGAGTAAATGCTTATGAACTGTTAGGACAATAAGCAAGCAATTAGATAATGGAAGTAAATCAATCAATCCCCCCAGCCAGTACGTAAACACTGTCAAGGATTGATGGATGAGAATTCAGGGTCTCGCCAAGCTTTGCAGTACGTACTTACGAATGGGTCAAACGTCTTGTCGGAGGATACTGCCAAGCGAGGTCGAAAGGGTCAAAAGAAAGAAAAAGAAAATCCAAGAAAGGAAAAGGGAAAAGAAAAAGCCACCCAGGTAGAAATAAACCAATCGGATTTGCGTTGGAGGGGAGCGGGCGTATGTGTCCACGTATGCAGAGAGGCTGGATTTGGGAGTGGAACTCCGTCTTGAAGGGGGTCATGTGTGAGTGAGTGAGAGGTGGGTTCATAGAAACGATTGATTGACGGATCAGAGATAGATACGCAAAGCTAAGACTTTTGCACTTTTGCTTAGCGTTATGGATCGTCTGAGATGGGGGAGGGGTCCGGAAGGGGAGGATAGATATCCAGGTGCCTGTTCTGATTATTGATTTGATCTCGATTTTGATTATTATTGATTCTAGTATCGCCATCATGATTGGTAAACTTTTATCCCCCGTGTGCCGCCCTCTTTTTGCCCCCTGGTTCCGGAGTAATTTTCAATGTCTATTGGAATTAATGGGAGCAGGATTCGGGTTTGTTGGGTGATATGAAGTCATGGTGGTTGGTGGTGATATCATGCTGCTTACTGTACACCGTATTGATGATGATGATGATGAGCCACTGGCAACTGCACTTCCATGTAACTGCTCCAATCTATTCATAGACGAAACCTGCAACAGCCAGGCGTTTGTGATGAAGGATAATTTTATCGTGTCTGTCGCTGCTAGTTTCCTATTATTGGCAAGCCCCCGGAGGGAGGATTGGTTGACCTGTGCCCCTCCTCATTTTCTGTGCTATTGGAATCGAAGCTATTTCGGGTCGGGTCCAAGTGGGACTATGCTGTTGTGTTTTCCAGAACGTCGGGTTGAGTCGTTTGGCGGGTGGAATGTGGATGCTCGTGAATCTAACCACTCCTCAAAAAAGATGCTGAAAGCTTAGTACAAGGTACTAGTAAAATGAAAAAAAGGGACGGACCAGTTGATACGCGTCGCACATCACTCCCAGACTGAAAAAGAGCATAGGCTAAAGGGTGGAAAAAAACATACCATAAGCCAGACCCCTCGGCCCTTTCTTCTCACCCCACAGTCCAATACATACCTCCTTTGTAGCTTACCTCCGACACCTCTCACACGCAGCCCCTGGTTGTCACAAATCCGAGTCGCACGAAGCACCTCTCTAACTTACGGCCGAATACAGTCGGACAAAGATACCCGAAACGGGGTATGATCTGAGGCAAAAAGAAGGGACTCGTATTCCGCATTGCCACTTAGAGAACAAATCTTACATGGTGTATAGTATATGCGAAGCGCTTCTCCAACGGTTCCGATCCGATCCATCTTCGACCAGGGGAAAATCATGAGTAGAGAGAAGGGAAAAAAAAAAGAAAAAGGAAAATGAGTTGCCGCCCCTCATTCTCCTCTCTGGCATCCCATGTCGGTAACGTAAGTACTACTAGCGTCAGGAAAATAACCACACACACCCTCCCATAGGCCCAATCATGGCTGAGTTCAGTCCCCCGTCCATGGAATCCATCACACCGTGGCTAAAAGCTTGTCCGTAAGCCTCTTCTGGGGATGCGGCCAGGGGCCACTTTACCCTTCCCGGCAGGGATCGCCATCGTTTTTTGCATGGCCGCACGAGCGAGGCGTCCTGGCGCGCGGCACTGCTTGATCTGTTCTATCCTAGTCCACGGTGTTCAGGTACAGGAGGCAGTAATTTTTCTTCCCCCCCTTGTCGGGGAATAGTTGATAGTTCTATTGATAGTTAAGTATACTAGATGGGTCTCTGCGAGGAATAATGCGTCAACCGTTGAGATAGTAGTCAACAGCGTTTCAATCCCGATATTGCATTGACTTTCAAAACAGTCATGTCATTGTAGCTGGACTGAAATAGAAAATTACGACATGTATGTCATATTATCGAGTAATCCTGACACGGCGCAGGAACTTCAGCAGGTGTTATTGAGTAGCCAGCCTACTTACTGTTTGTTCGGGAACCCTGGAAAGTCTATGTATGCATCTTTGCTTAGCGTCAGGAATGGAAGGATAATACGGAGTCGGGGATGGTTCTGGCCCTTTTCATTGGTGGGGAGAGGCAACAAACCCCCCAGTCTAAGGGACTTGGCCCTCCAGCGACCGGACCAGACTAATTCCGATTAGTCTCAAATTGATTCTTCCCTGTAGTTTTTTTCATTTTATTTATTATTTTCATTTTACTATTTGCTTTTTGGGGTTTCTGATTAATATCGCGGGTGGTTTTCTTTTTGTTATTTAATCGAGATATAATATAACAAAACACAATTTATTTCAACCCCGATGCACTACCAACAACGGCTCATTTTATCTATCCTTTTTTTTCCTCTCTCTCCGCCCATCCAGCTGACGACAGGGACACGTACCAGTCAGGGATCTAGTCGGTTAGAATGATGACCGGTGGAAAAGGGCAGAGAGGGGCCATTGGGGCCCCTAATGGAGTCGTCAAGTTCCCTTTGTTGATGTGAAGAAAGTAGAAAAAATTGCCATTCGGAATTATTATGCAAAAAAGAAAAAAAATTTAAAAAATAAAAAATAAACGAAAAAAGGGTAATTCAAAATTACAATGACAGGGCGAAGCCAGTGATCCGCGTGGCTACTCGTGGTTCTGGTTCTACGAGACGGCCGAGCGAGCCTGAGGAACCTTTGGTACGGGGTTCCAGCCTGACTAAGGGCAGGAGGCCGCTAGTGCCAAATGAAGGATGTACTTCGGCTTTACTCCTGGTCTGATCTGATCTGCTCGGTTGAAGGCTTTTCTTTTTCATCTGTGGCGATGATTATAAGCGTGGAAGATGAGGAAGGATAAGGGGGAGTGGGAAAGAATTTAACACTGGCATAGAGGCTGTTTGTCATTGAGAGTGATTATCATCTACAGTAGTGATGGATGAAGAATTACCACTGAGATATGTAAGATGTAGGTAAGTAATATACTCATTACTCAGTAGTGACCGGAGATAGGTGTTATTGGCATAGACCCTGTGGTTCCTTCCGGTCAGCTTAGGGTCTTGCGTTGCTGGTCCAGTGTGAAGCCCTCGGGCTGGCAGCCTTTTTAGTCTTTCTGTGGCCCTCGAACGAACGAACCTGATACTCGGCCAGAGAACACAATAATACCATGAATGATGATGCCTATTTTCAGCTCCACTTCGGCGAACTAGCGTCGTGGACTCGCCCTCCCAGTCCACGGTGAACTTACCCACTAGCGAACTAACTCAACTGACTTTCCAGATGGCCAGAGCTTCGGGAGGGACCCTGGACGGGTTTCAAGATGCTTCTTTCTTAGTCCGCCGGGACTGGCAACGTACGGGCTTGTTCGTCACCTTTGCCTCTCCTGTCGCTTTTTAATATTCCTGCTTTGCCCTTCCCATTCGACTGTCTCTTTTTTTTTTATTTTTTTTTAACTCTTCCAATTCCCTCCTTTTTTTGACTTCTTAATATCTTCCAGTCAAATCCTATTTGCCATCCGATCCCAATCCTTCCATTCCTTTTCTTCCTTCCTTCTCACCCACACCCCCCTCCCTCGCTTCTAGCCTCAAAAGCTTGGTCTGTCGTTCGGGTCCCTGCTGTCATACTTGCACTGCTCTCCTCCGATCCCCGATCTACCCTATCTATTATCTACCTACTTATCTACTACTCTCCTCCCCGATCATCCACCCCATCCCGACCTCTTGTCTCTTCTCATCCACCATCCTCTCGCAACCATCACTCAACCTCATTCTTCATTGGATTTGTGTCTCATCTTCCAACTCGATACTTTTGTGGAAGATTGCTATTTGGCATCTTATTTGGTTCAATAGCCAAGGATTGAAAGACGGAAAAAAGAAAGAAGAATTTACTTGCTTTTTGCTGGTCCCTGCAATATCACTGGGCCAGTTTGCAATTGTCATTTAATTCGCTTCGTCTGCGGGTCCCACCTCGACGGCCTCTCAGTGGGTTGAAAGCCGGATCATCGGATCTTCTTGATCAGATCGACGGGGGAACTTGTTGAATACTTTCCTCCACCTTTACAGGGAAGTCAGACTGGTGACTCCTGGAGTTTTCTGTCGAGTCCTTGCCAAATCCCGTCTATCCGGAAGCCGGTTTTTAGGTCTAGCGGAGTGTTACACGAAAGTGAACAGGCAAACATTCTCGAAGATCCTTGGTGAGTACTTTAGTCTCCTTTGATTTTTCTTTCTTGCTCCTTTTCCTCCCTACCTTTCTGCCTTGTCGATGGGGCTGCAGATGCTTGCGTTCTTTCGTCTGGTTTCTCATTCCGCCTCAGTGAGGGGAAGGGCAGCATCGTGCGGAGTTACACTCGGCAGAGGAAACAAGACTAACGATATTCCCAGCAGATTAGCATCATCTCAGTGTCACAATGGCGAGCTGCAAAGCAAGTTTTGTGTCGATCTTGAACAACGACGACAACCCGGCCTTCACAGTCCGCTCAGCCCCCGGGCTATCTAAAAATCAAGCCACTTCGCCATATCCTTACCACTACGCACCCCAACAGTCGATCCCGGCTCCAGAGTTCCGCTACCATCATGCATATGTGAATTCTCCCTCAGTATCACCTGGCCTGGCACGGCTCCCATTCGACCCCGTGCCCGAACCCGTGCAGCCCACCTCTCCCGGCTCCTCGGACTGCTCCTACGACTACATGAGCAGCACCAGTGTTCGATCCCACTATCACCTTGGCCGCCAGGATACGAATGCCTATCGCCCGCTCTCTGAAAAGCGCATCAGCGGCAGCTCTGTTACTGAGCCTCCATCGCCCCAGCCTTCTGTCGGCAGTAACAAGGAATCTATGGCTGCCAAATCCGGAGTCCGGAAGAACAAGTACCCTTGTCCTTTTGCTGCCAGCCACGGCTGCTCTGCGACGTTTACGACATCCGGCCACGCCGCCCGCCACGGAAAGAAGCACACAGGGGAGAAGAGCGTCCACTGCCCCATCTGCAACAAGGCATTCACCCGGAAAGACAACATGAAGCAGCACATTCGCACGCACCGCACCCATTCCGAGGATATGCCTACGGCCATGACGACGGATCGGGATAGCGATGGCAGCAGTAGCTGGTCGACCCGGAGGAGCAACACATCGGCGTATGACCACCAGCGCTCCGTCAGCGGGACACAGATGGACGGGCCCTCGTATGATAGTGGTTCAACCCTGAACCCGATCTCCACAAGTCGGGCGTATGAGCCGATGTCCTCACGAGTATGACAAGTGAGCCAAGACGTGAACGGAACATGAACACAAAAGATTACCACGGGTTGATGTTTACTTATTTCCATTCTCTGGACATCTCTATTTCTACTCTTCATCTTTTCCCAATGGCGGGACAAAGCGTGTCCCATCGGAGCAACGGCGTTATACAGGAACTCAAAAAATAAGCGCCCTCAATCGGCGCAAAGAGTGGCTGCTGAGCGGCACTCTTTTGGTGTCACTGGTTGTTTCCTTCAGTCTGCCGTCAGAAGAATCGACGGTCAGATGCGGCACAGAACGGTTTTCTTCAAAATGGGAACCGGGTAGTGAAAGCTGTAACCGGCTTCTCAGAAGGGGATTGTTCCTTCTTATTTCCTCTGCTTTGTTTTTTTACGTCTGGGTCTGCATTATGCTTTTTTCGTTGTTGTTGTCCCATAGCTGGACTGGATTCCCCCATTGCATTTGTCATATGTCTTGTCAGCGTGTTTGTGTGCTTGGTCAGTCTGTGTGATGTGTTTTTCTTTTTGGATGCCACGAATACCTTTTGTTACTGATCCTATCATCTTGGGAGCGACGGCCGAACTTGAATTTTGAAATGTACATTAGAAGCTAGTATGAGAGTGTGTGGGATGTGATGGACAGGCATTAGTACCTGTCCTTCGGGATAATCCCAGATCAATATGATCAAGATGAGAACTCTTCACTACTTTATGTCCAGTATGACTTTGTATGTCTTTCTGTCGGTTGATAGAACTGTTTCTCTCATATTAGATGATAATATCGGTGCCATGAATGGAGAGGGGCCCGCTGAACTATAGACCAGGAAGCGTGTGCGTGTAACTTTATGATATATCATCGATTATCCACAATCTGTAATATTGACCAGTCAACTATGTACTCAACCCTGTCAACAAATATCTAGTAGACAGATAGTTGATATCTAGCTATCTCACTGATAGAGTAGCCACCGAACCACGAATCGCGCAGGCGGAAACGAACCAAGCCGGGCATGGATGAGGAACCAGCCCCTACTGAAACTCAAGTTCGGTATTTTGCTCCTTGTCGGTGTTGTGTTATGTGTTAGAAAAGGCTCATGATAATCACTACTGCCTGCTACATAATATCTACAAGCAAGGTTATCCCCTACACAAACAATCAAGTGTAACTATTTTCCTTGTATATCGGGTTACGTCATCTACAGTGGCTATTAACTATAACTACTATGCTTCAGCTGGATGGCTATCTGGTACCAGTATATGCAATCAAAGTCTTTTAGATACATTCAAAAAGTGAAAAATGAATATTAGGGTTTTATAGATATTTCAGGTATCAGTGGTGGGATCATGAGAACGGGACACGATCATCTTCTGGCCATTCGGCGAGAAAGCCACTGACCTCCATGACAGACACACTCACTACTGCAAGCAGTCACCCTAATCGCTGAGCTCCTTTTGAAACATAATATCATGAGCAAACTCCAACGTCGCCCGCATTGACATTGTATCTGTGGCATATGTATACTCCGTATCAATCCGACGCCCCAGCGTCCTGTCAAATCTGCGGTACCGCTGATCGAAGAAGCTCGTAGCAGCGGTTAAGTCTGTATCCAAACTATCATATTCAGTGAAGTGCATTGATGAAAGCGGTGATATAGGCAGCTTTTTCTCGAATATATCAATTTTATATTAGTAATAAAAAGAATGATAGGCTTCTGTGAGAACCATGGATTGTTGATAGTTGAGTCGAATAGGAGCATGTCTTCGTGGGCACTGTTCTAGAGGGTACTTATCAGCAAGAAGCATTATGTAGCTGGTGAGATAGTATGTATGTAGTACTCATACAGTGTCTTGGTTTTCGATCAAATATTTATGGGAATTGGAAAGCGCTACTACAGATATCCCATAATGGACTTGTTCTAGAGAGTGTATCCATTTCCTTCTTTCGCTATGTTGTCCGCTCAGCTGGATTACTGTCCATGTTATTGGACCTATAGTGAAGAAGTATTCAGAGAGTTCTGTCGGCATTGCTCTGGTGAGCTTTGCGTGGAGGAGGTCCTGGTTGGTAGAAAGCCACTTAGGCATGGCTAGTCTGTCGGGGGAGTTACAGAAGCTGATGGTAGTGGAATCTTTAGTATCGCTACATAATATATCAATCGGTCTCAATGACTCACTAAAGAAATTGGTCTTTGTTAGGAATTTCAGTATTAGGTGTAATAGCCGCTTGAACACGCGGATCTTCCCAAAGGTTCCTCAAAGATTAATGGACAGTAGCTGTATCTGGTGATGCATTGAAGGGGCTGTATATCTCCAATTTAGCAATCAGATTTGTGGATGATTAGAAGCTTTTCAGTAAGACTAATCAATTATTACTATCAGAAATTTATATTTATAGCTAACCTTTGCAGGCTCCGTATCGAAAACAACATTATCTCTCGCACTGCTCTCTGGTAAATACTGCCAAGCAGTAGTTAGACTTCTCAACATAACTGTCCGTGTCTGGAGACGCTCATCACTTGCCAATGACATCAGAGTAAATGAGGCGCATCTGGGCTATTGTAGTCAATCTTCCAGACTCATTGCTACCTGTACATTGTGTTAATGTAGTCTTACACATGTGTTTGTTTAACTGTTACCAAGCAGGGTTGTTCCCTTTACGTTGCTTGATTTCTTCTTTTCCGAAGCCAGATAATCCACATTTTAATGGGCTTCAGCGTAATATCGACTTCAGCGTCTGTCATCCCGGTGGTCGCCTGGCCTCAGGGATATCACAGCATAAGCCACCCATTTATGGTGACTTGAGTATGGTATGTTATTGAGAGATTGTCTGTCACGGACATGCGGACATGCATATGGTTGGGATAACTGTTATCAACACCCCGGTCAGGTGACGATGATCGTCTCAGATGATCATATATTTCAGCCTTGTCGTATTTCTGGATCTATTGAATAAGGAATTGTTTGGCGGCAATCAGATATTCATCTTGTACAGTACAGATCAGCGTGTTTCCAGGTATGAACAATATAATCAACTCCTCTTTGACACACGACTGTCCATATATATTTATGTGTCCACGGGGTTTCATGCCATTTTAGAACGTAAACTTAAAATAATAAAACGTAGAGACTCAGGCGCAAATGATGAAGTTGAGGGTATCTCTTTATAGTTACTCAGTTTTCTCAAAGAGGGTCTGGGATGACTAAACCTTATTTTGATTTCCACGGTTTCGATTTCCATGGTTTAGAAGGTAACTAGCCATATAGATATGTGGAGTATAGGCATGTACCTGAAGGTCACAGCAACTGCAGTTGACAATGGCAACAAAGATTATCACATAATTATTTTTTTTTATACGATCAGTATACTGGTGACTCTTGTTACGAGTATGAGTATGTGCAGAGGCCATTGTGGAATGAGAAGCTGAGTCAGCGCGGGTGGGGGATGATGTCAGTCGACGATGCGGTGGTGGTTTGGTTTGGACCCTTGAATTTTGAATGCTGATGTTGATGTTATGACAGGATTGTGCGAGGTACATTAGCCATCCCCCATTCATCGACTTAACAGATAGTAAGGTGAGTCTCCACTTTGCACAGATGTCATCATCCGACAAAACGGGTTTCAGTGTGCGGGTGCCCCGAAACACCGGCGGGACTCTCCTGTCACCAATGAATTGAAGGTGAGGCTGCACAAGCAGTGAAATCCTATACTGCACTACCAAATCGTACCTGCCTTAAATGGGTGCATCTGCCCCTACGTCACGGGCGCTTGCCCCGCTGTCTCGCTCTTTCCCTCCCCAGTCGCCACTGCCATTTTTACTTCTTCTCGTCTTCTTCTTCTTTCTTCTTCCCTTTCCACCTCAACATCACCTCCACTCTTCTTCTTCTTCTTCTTCTACTACAATCCTCCACTATCCCATCAGCTTTCATCAATTCCTTTTCATAACACCACTCCCTTCATCCATCTAATGATCACCCCCATCTAGATCTTCGTTTCTCAACAGTCCCTTGAACCCGGACAATGACCCACTACGAAAGCCGTCAGTACGCCCGGCCTCCCGGCGGCTACAATCCTGACTATTACTATGGTGCCCCTCCTCATGGCACCGCTCGTCACCAAACAGATGTCGTCCGTCGTCGCGATGGCAGCGTTGATTCCTACGATGCCCCTCCGCGCGACTACCCGCCTGGCGATTATGGCTACGAATACGGCTACGGCATCCCCCCTCAGGCCAGACCGTCCCGTGTCTCCACCCTCTCGGAGGGGGTGCGCAGATCCCACTCTATGGGCCATCGTGATCCCTATTACGATGACTCGGACTACTACCGTCGATCCCACCGCCGTTCGAGGCGACATGATGACCGACGTATGTATCTCATGTCTCGGACAGATAGCACGCCAAAGAGTACAAAGCTACTGAGAGTAAGTCGCCTGCTGACATACATTCGCAGGTGATCGCCCCAGATACTCTCGTTCTCCATCGGACAGCCGCTCTCCCCCAAGACGACGTCGCAAGTCCATCTCTGAGCAGGCCTTGGGTGCTCTAGGTCTAGGGTCACTCGCCTCATCTGGATCCCATCATCGCGAACATGATCGTGGTCGCTCACATACCCGGGATCGTAAGTCTTACTCCTACTCGCCCTCGCCCACCCGGGACAGAAGCCGTCACCGACGGGAGAAGAGTGAGCAGCGCATCGCCCAGGCTGTTCGAGCGGCTCTGGCTGCGGGGGCCATAGAGGCCTTTCGTGTTCGCAAGGACCCTGGCGAGTGGACCGGTGAAAAGGGCAAGCGCATCCTTACAGCTGCGATCACGGCCGGCGGTACCGATGGACTTGTGGACCGAGACCCGAAGAAACATTCCAAGCGCCATGTCGTCGAATCCACCCTGGCGGGTCTGGCTGCCAACCATTTCATCAACGGATCAAGATCCCGGTCGAGGTCTCGTGGCCGGGGTCGCTCGCAAAGCCAGGGTGGACTGAAGAATCTGGTTGCCACAGGGGCCCTGGCCGCGGCTGGGAAGGAGGCCTATGATCGTTTCCGATCCAAGTCTCGCCCTCGGAGTCGGAGCCGAGGCCGGGGCCGGTCCAGCTCTCGGGATAGCTACGACGACCGTCGCCCCCGCAAACGGAGCAAGAGCGTGACCGACTACATCAACCAAGGAATGGAAGCACTAAGCCTAGGACAAAAGGACAGCCGTGACAGGAGAGCTCATGGCGGCCGCTCGTCTCGTCGCGACGTCTATTCGGACGACGAGCTCTCGAGTGAGGACGAGCCCCGACAGCATCACAGCCCACGGCGCTCCAGACACTCTAGAGATGTGAGTCGACCTTTATCTACCGTCACCACCTCGACACGACCTTCCACACGCACCACATCCAAAGGAATCGGCGAAGCTGGTCATGGTCGTGTCAACAGCCCTCATGGAGGTGGTCAATCCGAGGATTCTGATTCTGACCTGGGAAGCAGTACCGATGAAGAACACCAACGCAAAAAACTTACCCGGAAAACCCTAGTGAAATCCGGCCTGGCCGCGGTGGCCACCATCCACGCCGCACATAGTCTGCACGAAAGTATGGAAAAACACAAAAAACGAGCGGAGATGGTTCGCGAGGGTGAGCTTTCACCGGAAGAAGCCCGTCGTCTTCGGATCAAGGGTCAGCTAGGCGATGTAGCCAGCGTCGGCCTGGCCGCCCTGGGGATCAAAGGTGCAATCGGAGAATGGAAGCATGTGGAAGAAGCCCGCCGTGAGCGACATGAATTTGCGAAAAGCTGCGACGAACGACGAGAGCGCCGACACCGCCGTGTACAGAGCCAAGGACCGACGGCTCGACCGCCGCGGACCATATACCCTGACGAGATTGAGGAGCATCATCCATCGGAGTATGGATCAACATCAGATCTTCGATCCCGGTCTGTGGGACGATCGTCCAGAACGCCTGTCACACCATATGCTTGAAATGAAGAAATGTAAAAATGAGCGATATTGAATTGCAGACATGTGCTATGATAACGATTGATGATTGATGAACCTTTCGTTTTTATGCAAAGTTTGTTGTGTTATTCCTATGCAAATTGATAATAGTCTTTCCTTTGAATGTTCTTGACGTTCGCCAGTTGACTACTGATGTTGTATACGTACACGCGCCTGCTTGTCTTCACATGCATGTTACTTTGTCGACTATCCACCTATTTCTCTTTCGGTATAGCTGATTTTCCCAATAATTTACTGTAGCTTACAGATAGTATTACAGCACTGTTTCGATTTCATGGCTTCTAAGACATACAATACAGTGATTACTTAGAAAGCGAACAGTGAAATGAACGGCATAATCCATTCACGGCATGCAGGCATGCACGCATGCCTATAGAACTCTCAATGGGAGGCTATAGACCATCCCCTTTGCGCAGCAACAGACAGAATATTTACAAGATACACACACACACACACACACACACATGAGCAAGGAGACAAATCAAGACAGCACAACACCGGGTATGATATCTCAAAAAAAGCAGACACACCTGCTAAATAGATGGGCAGGAATCGTCAACAGAACAACCAGAATATCAGATCATTGATCAATCAATCAATCAAGCAAGCGCAGAACCAAAACGAGACAGTAGTACTACTACATGCAAGATGACGATGGTAGGCGAGTAAGGAGAAGAATTGTGTCCTAGCACGAACAGGAACAGACGGACAGGCGCAGCAAGGAAAGAGAGAACGGAACGCTCGATTCTTTTGCCAGCAGGATGGAAGCAAGACAAATGCAACAGATACGTTGATAAGCAAAGCGGTCAAGCAGGGGTGCGGGTACCCATTAGACAGGAGGAAACCTGGCAGAGAACATGTGGGAACAAGGGAGAAAGGAAACGGTCAAGCGCAGCTAGCTGTACATCCCAACGAGGTGGAGGGAACGAAACTTTTACAGAATGCATCTTCTGAGGGGTACCATGGAGGAGCCAGGCTAATGCAATGAAGGAATCAGGTCAGAGCGGTGGGTGATGGCGCAGAGATCAATGAGGGTAAATGAGCGTGAAAGAGTCCAGATGCGACGTTTGGAGATGAGTGGCAGTCATGTGAGTCGGTCCAGAAGACGTTAGGGGGGCGCTCATCGATCGGCATTCAAGTTCAGCCAACTCATGTCCGAGTTGACATTAGTAGGATGGCGTGGCGGCATCGGTTCCACTTCTTCGGGTATAAGAACGCTTGAACCGCGTGTGTTGGTGCGAGACGGGTCGAGTGTTCGGTAGTCACTTTCGGATGGCACTGCTATTGAAGGCACATGCGTGCTGGGGTTGTAGAAACTTCTGCTGTAGGTACTACTGGGAGGCCGGTCCGCCCAGCTGCGCTGTGGCCAGGGCCCGTCACCCTCCAGCTCGGCACTCATCGACGAAGCGCTAGAGATGCGAGCTGACTGACTCTCTTGGATTGCAACAGGGCGACCCTCGGAGGAGATGATAGACGAGGCATGCTCCGTTGTGGGGCTACCGCTTATTACCTGTCCTAGAGGCTTTGGCTCATCCAAGAAGCCAAAATCCAGGGGTGTGAGAGTCTTCATCTGCCATGCGGCGCCTTTCGGCTGCGGCTTGGCAGACGATGCGCCTGATGGGGGCTGGAGAGTTTGGGATTGCATTCCAACCAAGCTTGTTGCACTGTTGTCTTGGAAGTAGCGACTCCACCCTTCATTGGTTCTCCGGTCCCCTGGGCGACCCCCGGAGGTGGAGTTCTGAGCCTCGATCTCTTTATCAAAGGCAGCACTCGAGTACACACTAGGTGACGAGGCTTCTCCGGTGGAATGAATGGTCGTCAGAGGGCTCGACTTCAGCGGAGTCGAGTTCTGTGCAAAGGTAGGACGGGCACCAGCCGGCCTCGGGGTCTTCTCATCACCCACCTTGCCCGAGAAGATTGCAAGCGAGTCTACCGAGGAAGCTGCAAGCGGGACTGGGCTCTTGGCCATGGGGTACGCTGACTGGGTCAATGGCTCCACACCCTGGTCCTGGAAACTGAGCCGATCTTTGTCGCTTTCGCCTCGGGCTTTCTTCATATTCTGCTTCTTACGTTTGATAAGCAGGAGAATGATCACCAGGATAGCGGCGACACCCAGGATCGCTCCCAGGGTGGCGCCGACTATGGTGCCGACATCGCTGCTGGACGAGCCGCCGGCGCCGGCGCTGGAGGATGCGCTGGAGGTCGACGTTGCTGTGGATGTAGATGCCGTCGTTGTGGATGACCCGAGAATCTGCTGCCGGCTCTCGTCACCGTAGAACAATTTGGTAGCGTTGACCCAGCTGTTGGCGGTTTGGTTGAAGATGGCCAAGGAGTCCGTGCCACTGCCACTAGAGATCACTACCAACCCATCCTCCCCCTGAGCTAGGGAGTAGTTCTGCCGTGTTGTGGACTGCGCTAGGCTACTATCGTAGGTCGGGTAACTGCTGAGGGTAACTTCTCTCTTCCGTTTGCGTGACGAGGATGAACTGATGGCGGTAGCAGGGTTCTGCTCCTTCCCGGACGAATTCACCAACACCACGCTCGAGACAGTGTTGGGCGCAACGTCCATGTCGAACTCCTCCAGCACCTTGCTTCCGTCGGATCCTTCAAGAATGGCGCACTGCACGCCACTGGATAGCGACTGGGACAGTGTCACGTTGGATCCATACCAGCCCGCAGTCGGGTTGAATAGGTGCACTTTCTTTGGGGTTGTGGTACCGCCAACCAACGCCGCCTCGCGATCATTCCATGGCAACAGAACCGGGTTGACGGCCGGTGACGCTTCCGTCGCATTGTGGGCCGCAATGGAGTAAGGCGATACGGTACTGAGAACGTATGTGTCGGAAGATGCAACAGTTTCGTCGGTCTGGTGGCCACCATAGACCAGAATAGAGGAAGAATTCGACAGGTAGACGGCCTTGTGGTGAGTACGGTTCCCCATGACCGATTGCGGGGGTTGAATGGTGGTCCACGTCTTGTCTTGAAACGAGTATCGCTGCAAGCCCGGTTGACTCGACGAGCCGGATCCGCCAATGACATAGAGGGATTGCTTGGTCTCATCGCCGTCTGTGCCACCGATTACACACGCTGCGTCTGAGACAGCCTCACCCATGGTCAATTGGGTCCAGTTTCCATTGCGCTCGAGGGGTATCGATAGAAAGCCATTGGCGGAGTAGGTGTAGAGAGCGTTGTCGTATAGAGCAGAGCAGTGACCCTCCAAATCCACGGGAGGTTTCGGAACAAGCATGTCGAATGTGTCGGGAAGGGAGAAAAGGGAAAAGTTCTTCGAATGTACCAGCCGAAGACGATCAGGAAACAACCAGCCGTCCGAGGTTCAGCACGTAGGCGTTAGGACGGAGAAGGGATGAAGAATGACTGCCGGAGCACTATCGCATGATCGACAAGGTAGAGGATCGTGTGCTTGGGTGCAGAGAGCAACCGGGGGAGGCGATGATCGCGAGTCGGAGTCGTGATTTGGACAATGTATGATTTGAGAGCGAGCGAGAGAGGGCGATATCTGCAGGGGATTGTCCCGGTAGAGCACAGAAGGGCGATGGTAGATATGGAATTCCAGAATATCGATCTGCTTGAGAAAATGGGGAAAACTTGGAGTGGTGAAAAAAACGAACGACGACCTGGCAATGAGTGTGTCAATTGGGAAGGTTAGGTTTTAGGGGGTATGTTTGCGAAGGGAAAACGATGGACGGAGTGCGCGATATCAAATCGGCAGCAAACGTGGAAAAAGAACGAAAGGAAAGAGACGGCGAGGAAGGAGACCAAATGCCAGACCGAGTCAGGCAGAGAAGGAAGCGAAAAGCCAGCAAACGGAGGGGATGGGATGGGAGGAGAGGGACGAGGGCATCAGGAGAGGTCGAGAGAGGGATTTGGATGGGGGGGCGTGGGAGAGGGTGGAGGGTGAAACGCCGGCGGGCAGCTTAGACCAGCACTAGGGAGGGCAGCCGAGAAACTCACCCTTTTCGCTGGTGGAGAGTCAGTGAGCCGAGCAGAACAGGGGGGGCTGGAAGGATACAACAAAAAAGCAGAGAACGAGCGTAAAACGAAGGAAGTAGAGAGAACACGAGTGCACAGCACGTTTGGGAGGATGAAGGAAAAGAAAGAAGGAGGAGGAGGAGGAAGAAGAAGGAAGGGAGAGAGTGTGAAGGGAAGTGAGAGTGTGAGAGAATCAGAATGGAAGGAGCGAAAAAGGAGGAGGCGGCGATGGGAAGAATTGGGAAGGAGCGACCACCACTTCGTTAGTTAGTTAGTCCACCATCTAAAAAACATCTGTGCTGACGGCCATTGACTTGGATTGAAAGTAATTCAATTCTTCTTTCATTAAAATCAAAAACTAGTAACTAATTGTCGATAATAGCTACGACTCTTCTTGCGCACTTACTCCCCAAATGCTACACGAAACAATCATCTGTTTGACAAGAGTCGCGCGACCGAGGAGGGACAGAAGAGGAGGGGGAGGCAATGTACCTGCATGAAGCTGCAAGGCTGGTCAAGAAAACTTCCCCCTCCCTCTTTTGTTCCCCCCCAACCACCCTTGTCACTGCAGGCAGGCGTCAGAACGTGCCAACAATCATCCTAAATCTATACCATTAGTTGGTCAAATCTGTTTTTACTGGTTACTAAATTAGGTCATGCAGGTTTGCAGCAAGTGACCCCTTCCTTGGGCCCCCAATGTCATCCTGTCGCGAGAATTGGACCCTTGGGTCTTGCATCCATGGTACTCAAGGCTGACTGATGACGATGATGATCAGAGGAGGGAGGGAAGGAAAAGGTAAATGATCCCAATGATGAAATTGGGAGGAAGAAGAAAAGTTCCCGAATCTTCACAATCGCATCGGGCCAAAAAATGGTGCTGCCTTGCTCGGAAGTAATAAAGATCATGTCGACACTCGACAGAACGTGCGAAAGGAGAAAAGCAATTAACGGCAAGTCTCCACAATAATTATTGGTGCTGACCCCCGTCATCATCCTTGGGGTAAATAGATACTAGTAAATAGTAAATAGTATCCGATGGGGGGAGGAGTATCCAGTATCCTAAGTCAGCATTATCCCTATCGAAGGAAAAGGGAACCAAATCCCATCCCAACCCATCCATGAATTCCCAAGGAGGTCACGATAGTTAGTTTAATGGTGGAGAGGAGATAATTGATGATGTATCATCCCTCGTGCGCCGACCGGGATCAACTGCCCGATTATTGGTCTGGTGGGACTAGTCAGGCACACCCGCCAACATTGGACGCAGGTACACTTAATACCACTGCAGTAGTACTACTACCTACAGTAAGTATTGACTGCAGACGGAGATATACTCCCGTGGCAAAAAGCCAATTTCCCACTTCATACCTTGCCGAACATCTCTCTCACACATCATCAGTCCCATCTATTTATAGGCTGGACCACCAGATACTTACTAGATACTATCTAGTTACTTTTGTATGATCCCAAATTCCCACTGACTCGTGGCCGTTTCATCGGCCCCACTGGGAAGGCATCACATCGCTGATTGGTGGATTCTTCGGGGAACCTCAGGCACTTCAAACCAAGCCCGGACTGACGTAATCCCCTGGCATCAACAATTAACTAACTAACCATTTAAGGACTAGAGATTCATCCCGATTGAGATGAGAACAACCATCACAATTTATTGGGGTAAATCAATCAAGATACTACTAGTTTGGGCAAGCGAGTAATGGTACCTGGTTCAGTACTACTCATCAGAATTGACAAGATGGAAGGCGAAGGGACACAGAGGTAGGGATTGTACATTGGTTACCATCGCAAAATCGGGTGAATAAGAGTAGTTGAACAGTACTAAATATATCATCATCATCATCAAAAGCATCATAGTGCAGATGCTTCTTGAGTTATTATCACCATACATACTGTATAGTATTATCACCGGTTCGACTCCCTCATGCTTCCAGTAGTTTTATCGTGTCTTACTATTGATTACTTTTGCACCGGAGAAAAAAAAAAAAAAAAAAAAAAAAAGAAAAAATTCATATTGACAATCTAGGAAGTACAATCATGCTAGGAGAGAGTAACAATTGAACCCGAAATATGATAGTATAAATATTAGACATTAAGGGTGGGGGAATAAAAGAGGTGATATGATTTGAAAAGTAAATAAAAGAAATAGAGCAGAACTGCAAGAAAACTCCAGCAAAGGTCTTTCATAAGAATGATTCAACACATACCTACTTACCACTTATCCCATACAGCCCGCAAACACACGAGAGACCTTCCCCCCCCTTTTTAAGTACCAGCGCGCTCACTCCATATTCTAGGTACCCTTTTTCTGGCCAACACCTTAAGTTTAGTATGGACTTTGATTTCCAGGTACCCCTTCACACAGAATGTCGCAGTGACAGAGACGCATTGATGCGAGTATACCCCGCCTCCAGCAGCAGGTTGTAGGGCACGTTCGTTGGTGGGTATGTCGGACATATTGCAGGTCAACCGGGCCAGTACGCGCGATTCTACAGTTGTGTAGTGCCAGAGTCAGTCCTGTAATTGATAGCATGACAGGACCTAACTTACTTTGGCCATCGCTAATTTTCAGAAAAAACGTTTTGACAAGGGGCTCCCCGGGGCGACTATAAAGCTGAAACACAGCCTTGTAGGGTCTACCTTCCTCGTAGACACGGCCCTGGTGACGAGTTAGCGAAGAGCACCTCATAACCCAGGAAAATTAATTACCTTGACCAAGATCTGATGTGGATAAGCGGGCACATCGGGCTCATTAATGAAATCTTGCAGACATATGCCGGGTTCCTCCCGTAACCCTGAGCACTCAATGAAATAACTTTTGTTACATGTCTGGTTCTTGGTGACAATGCCGCTCAGGCCCTTTCGCGCGGCACCGAGAGATGCAGATAGTTCGCTACCTCTGGATCAGCATGTAGTGCACATTAAGAGCTCTGAAACTTACGGTACTTGAGAATACAGGATACTAACAAATCCTGCATCCTTAAACCCCTGCGAGAACTTATCTCGCGCAAATTCAGAGCGCATCAGCCCCCCAGTCATCAACAGTTCCTGCGGAGTCAATTAGCTTAGAACTGGGGGAATCAATCAGGGCCTAGACGTACGTCGATTTTGAAGTGCCCGCAAGTGGCTTTATCCACCTGGTCGTTCACATAATGGACGACTTGGCCGATGACGCGGTCAAAGAATGCTCGGATATCACTGTCGGACAAGATTATATGACCCCTCATGGAGTCATACCATTGCGACGTAAAACAATCCATCCGGAACATAAGACGATGGCTACTTCCGTCTCCAATGAACGCTTCCTTTAATTGTTTGAAGTCGTTCATAAGACGTTCTCTCCGATCCGGATCGTCATTGAACGGCGTTGTGAAGGAAGTGTTGAAGCGTTCCCTCATGAGCTTCAAGAACTCTCTGTCAATGATGGTACTCCCAGATTTGGGGCCTATGGTGGATATATTAGATCTTCGTTTGTATATAAACCGGCAGCATATACTCTTACCTATGGCACTGCTCAGTTCCGTGAGCGAATACGATGTTGCAGTTACATCGGTAATCATATAACAGGCAATGTCCTAGCTTCTTGTCAGTATTGGGACGTTGAATAATCGCGCATATTCTACTCACAACCGTGCCGCCGCCCACATCGCACACGCAAAACGTGCTTCCGGACTATTGGTATGAAATCTCATTAGCCAGGGATGTTCCTGAGGAGGATTAGACATACACACGAACCTCTCTTTGTTTGTCAGAAGCTTCAAGAATGGATATCGCAGATGCCTCGCTCTCGGTAACAAGGCAAACTTCCTCATTTGGTTTATGGCCAAACCCGGCCAAGTGGATGGCCTCACTCATCCGCACTTGTGCATCGTTGGACCAGCCCGCCGGAATGGAAAACCAGTATTCCTTTCTGATGTTTGGTTGGCGAAAAATGTCCGACTGTTCCAGGTGGTTACGGATCCCGCGAAGGTAGTCGGCGACGACACGCACGGCCGACTTTCCGGTTGGGAGTCGCATGAGTTGGTGCCCTGATACTCTCTCTAATTCCTCGTCCCGGAAATCGGTTGACTCCATATCTGGGTCTAGAAGAAGTTTGGTCCACCTGAAAGTTTCAAGCTCCGGCGTAGTCTCAAGTCCCCATTGAGGTTGCAGACCGATTGGGTACTGCATTGTCGATGGCAGTTTGGCCCGGTATTGGATTGGCCATTCTTCCACTTGATAGATGGGCGAATCTATGCCTTGCCCGTCATTATCATGACCCCAAGCAGCGGCTGGGGTACGATTAGCCTCGTGCATGATGTGTGAAAGTTGGGAACCGTCTACTCACCAGTACCCGTCGTGCCGTAGTCAATAGCACAGACTAATCTTGGCCTGGTCTGTTGCATAGCGCTACTGGTATACCCCAGGGCTCGCTAGTAGACCTTAGTGCGTGAGATTTACTGAATACTGTGTGACAAAAAGACTTGAAAATGACAAGTTTGAGCTGGGAGCTGGGGTTGGGGTGTGGAAGTTGAGGTACCGCGGACGCTCCAAAGGCATCCAAGAGGGGCAAATGAGGAAAAAGCAGAGATATGCCATCTTCCATGTATCCAATGCTGCCCAACACGCAAACCATCTGCCACCGAAGAGGGCAGGAGAGTGTCTCGGAGTCAATACTGACCGTCCCGAAAGATACGAGGCTGGCTGATCACTAGTCTGGAGGCCCCCCATACTTGATAGGCCTGTTCCCACTCGGCTGTCTCAGTGTAAAAAAAAATAAGAAGGGCGAGGGAGAATAGATAGAATAGAGAGAGGATAGGAGAGAATAGGAGAGAAGTGAGTTACTCCCGAAAGAATCTAGATGCTTGGCCTTGCGCGTTGGTGTTGTCAACGGGAAGAACGGGAAACAAAGCCACTGGACCTCGTTTCAACCCCTTGGTTTCATTAACACCCTCTCATCGTCTCCCCGACTTTCTCAAATCAGTCGCTTCTTCATTACCTCCTGTCCTTTCTTTCGTTCGATTATCTTCTCATTCGACTGTCTTTCTCGGCTTTGCTTCTCTGTACAGCTCCGAGCCGCCCGACATGGATAAGAGCTCTCTTCAGGTAAGAATCCTTTCGGGCTCAGACTCATAGACTATATTGTCCATTCTAGAATGAACACATGGGACACACGCTAATTACACTCCTTTCATTTAGGAGGCATCCTCCCCCACCGTTGTCTACAGTAACTCCGACGATCATGTCTCAGAAGACGAAAGCTCTCCCCAGACTGAGAACGTCCAAGACCTCAAGGCCCAAGTTGCCTTTCTCCGGGACCAACTGGAGATTCTTCATGGAAAAGCTTCGCTCGAAATCGAGTTGCAAATGAAGATGCTTACGGCCGGGGCCAAGGGCTGGTCAGACTTTGATTTCGAGGTGTTGGGGAATATGATCCGTCAGGTTATGTATCGCATAAAGCATTGGTGCCAACAGCATGTCCGGCAAGGTCTGCCCGATACCGCTGAACTATCTGGCCTGGAAAAGCAAGCCATCATTCGTAGTCTAGAGGGCTATTGGGTTCAAGATGTGGAATGGGATACACTGAGGAAGTCTCTTCCTTACCCTCTCTCTGTGTGTATGTCGGAAGTGCTCGCTCAAACTATCTTGACAAAGAACATCGTGGAAAAGTTCTTTGTCAACCCATTTTGGTACCTCGAGGGAGAAGAATTCAATCAGCAGGATAAGGCGACGGGCTCTGTCTCATGTGCACAGAATCTGCAACATCTGTACCAACGATTCTTGGAAAGTGAGAGCTTCTTCCCACATGCTGCTATCCTCCTCTTCTTATGCTGACCAGAGCTGTAGCAAACGGCATCAGAGCCACCATCTGGAAAAAGGAAACTGTTCGTCTCTCAAATTCGGTTATGCTAACCCAAGCACCCAATCTCGAGCTTGGTCGGCAGACAAAGGAATATCGCACAAAGGCTGTCGCTTTGTTCGCCTCCACCCTACTTTCCGACCCTTTTTTCCAGAGATTACTAGAAAGTGTGGATTGCGAGGAAGCGAAGGAGCGAGAGAACAGTCTTATACGTATATGCCAATTTGCTGATGAGATCGCAATTACCCTCGGCTCCAATCAGGGGCATTGTCTGTATAAGACACTGGCGAGTGTGGGAACCACCTTCGATCCGAGATCGAACGAAGCGACACTCCATGAACTCTATAATGTCGGCGGAAATGCTGACGATGCCAGATTGGCTGGCCGTCGCATCTTAGGGATAACCCAGCCGGTTGTAATACTGAAGCTAAGAACTCTGAGGAGTCAAGAGAACGTGTTGAATAAAGCCGAGCTATTGGTGGAACATGGTGACTACACCGAGGAAGATCATGTGCGAGATCGACCAAAGCCTGCTGAAAATCCTGATGAAGAGGTTGAGAAGGAAGAAGACTAAGTAAGGGAGGCGAATCAAGGATTGCGTCTGTAGTATCTTTCCATTACATGTTGCGTTGTTTATAATTGCCCCAGACTGTCGAACGTTTTATGCCGTGATTCTTCTCTATTTGGTGTTCCTCGCTTCATCACTCCTGTCCATTTCAAGATATTCTCGTTAGATACTTTGCTTCTCATTTTTCTTTTTTTTTTTTTTTTTTTCTTTTTTCTCTTTTTCTCTTTTTTTTCCCTCTTTTTTTTCCCTCTTTTTTTTTTTTTTTTTTTTTTTTTGGAGAAGCAATTATTAAGTCATTTATTATCTATCTGGTTCACAACAGTAGTACACTGGAATGAAGTCAAGTAGGGAGATTGACAGGATCAGTGTCTCAAGCGCTATGCTGCTCGGTATTCACAAGGTCCAAGAAGCCCTACTCAGAGCCTTCGACCTGCCCGAGGGCAACTACGCACTGCCGTTCTTATCCGCACACATGCACAGGGAAGAATATACCGAAAATGATATGCAAGTCATTCGATCACTACTAATAACCGAGCTCTCACAACAGATAGGAGGATAAATTTAAGCCTTTCTCTTTTTCTTCATTTCAAGAATGAACCTCTTCCAATCAATCATGACATCCAACCTGCCGGTCAAGAGAATGCTCCTAAGGAGTTCTGGGACCAGCACCAGCGCCCCTTAAAAAGTCCAGAGCCTCTTCCACGCACTTGGCCCATCCCCACCCATGCCCTCACCCTTCCAAGATCCCTACAAATGGAGCACCGGGGAAGATACTGACCTAGCTACCTTCCTTCCGACCTTCCACCCCGTGGGTACTAACTGAGACATGCGGAATGAGGTACATGGGTCCGGAGTTATTTCCTGCCCTGATGGCCTTACTCCATAGGGTTCAAAGCAGTGTTGGTACCTCATCCTGTATATTCGGGCAGGGAGATGCCGCTGGAGAGATTGGATTGGTGGTTCAATGCTGGAGTTAATGGTCGGAGTGGCAATTCTCCGAATAGTCCGTTCTCACGGGGCAATGATATTAGGTTTTGGGATCTTTTGTGCTATGCTCAAGCTGATTTGGGGGGGAAAGGAAGGGGGTCAGTTGTATGGGAAATTTCTGGGGTGGGAAGTCTTAAGTGGGTTCGCCGTTTGTTCTGCATATATATATATCTTTCTTTCTCATCATATTAGAAGTCGCTACTAACGCTCATTGTGATGAATATAGGATGAAGCCCAACATGGACGGGTTTGTCTCTCCTCAATCCTCTTTCACCATTTCAAAGATGTCCGGTCAGAAGCTGACAGCACTAGTACTGACTACAAATGTAGTTTTGGACTTGGTTTTGTGGCGACTCCATAAGCCCAGTGATGGAGCTCCCTATTTATTATCCTCGTTATTTGTTTTCATAGGTGTTTAACATGGCAATCATTGAATAAGTCTTGTTAGATGATTATTATAAGGGTGTATATAATGGACATACTAAAAATATCTTTTCCAGATTGAGATACCTCAGCGATTGTGATAGCTAGCAAAATTCAGAATACAACTTGAGCTGTAATAATTCATCATTAGAATATCATTAGGATTTTACGGGGAAATCCTGCTTAGCATTTATTGTCCTATCCAGCGCAGACGCGGGCAGGAACGACTGCGTCTCATTGAAACCAGGCGAGCACTTTCTAACGATTCAACTGTCATAGGCATAGATGATGATATTAATAATGATATTATTAGTACTACTATGATATAGATTTATATTGATGGGCCTTGAAAACTAATCTAAATCCACGAAATAAAGATTGGCTGCGAGACAACGGGCACATACACCGAGAAGAAATTTATAGAGACTAGGAGTCGACGTTTCTTCATAAGGATGCCATACCATTCGCATGATAGTAGGCTTTAATGGATATTATCTGAGATGAAGTGGCCTCGTTATTATCATTCTTGTCCCAAGAACTCTTTAAGCATCATACCTTCTCCCTTTGATGCTGATGTGGATGCTTACTATCTGTTCCTTCAGCTCTTAGAAACAGACTTCGTTAAAAAGGGAATTCATTTATTTAAGTATCAGCTTACTGGTAGAGAAGGAGGTACTTAAAGTAAAGTATGTTGATTTCAGGACTCAGACACCAAATTGGTTTATTCCATATTGGGCCCTGGCT